TTACTTGGCTTCCTTACTTGTTAATTGCTTGCTTGATTTGATTGATTTATATTTCAAAACCATAGGCCTAATGGTATATAAGCTATTTTGAAGAGAGGCAGGAAAGTGTAAAATTTAGAAAAACTTGGGTATACCAGTGCTGTGCAGAACCTGCTGCCCTTTTGGAGCACAACAAGGTTATCCACTATTATGAAGTAATAATTAGATGTACATATTAATATAATAAACTAATAAACTGCATTGAGGTGGCCGAATTTTGGAAATAGAATGTTACGCTGGAAGAACGAACTATCTTAAAAGACTAAAGGGAAAAACACTTTGAGCTCAGATAGGGCTAGGAATAATTCCTATTTAGTTAGCCAGAGTGAGAAACCTTGTAATTCTTGGGTTATTGGGTAGTGTACTCAGGTGGATTTTGTTGCAATAGTAGGGCAGAATTAGCTCTGGATGAAATCTATTCTGTAGGTACTATGTAACAAAAAAGATCACACTTTCCAAATAAGTGCATCCCAGAAGAAATCTCAAGAACATTTATGGGAATATAAACTTTCTAGAACTCAATAGATAAAAGTTAAGTACCCAACCATCCACTTAAAAATAACCAAGCAAGAAGCAAGAAAATATGACTCACAATAAGGAGGAAAAGCAAAGAATAGAAACAGACCCAGAAATGACACAGATGATAGAATTAGTGTACAGATACCTTAAACATTTCTTAAGACTATATTCCATATGTTCAAGAAACTAGAGAAAACACTGAAAATTGAATATAGTAGGTAGAAACATGGAAGATGGAGAAAGATCAAAATTGGACTTACAGAAATTAAAACTACAATGTCTGAGATGAAAAATACCCTGGCTGGGATTAACAGCCAGAAGTAATAGCTGAAAAATTTCTAAACTTGAAGAAAACTGTGAAACACATGAATCTAAGAAGCTCAGCAAACCCTGAGCCTGAGAAATATGAGGAAAATTACCACAGGACACACACATTTTAATGACATTGTTTAAAACCACTGATAAAGAGAAAATCTGAAAGATAACCAGAGGAAAAGCAAACTATTATCATAGGAACAGAGCTAAAGATGGCAGCAGTCATCATGGTTTCTCATGGGCAGTGATACAAGAGAGAGGAAGATAGTGGCACAACATCTTTCAAGTATTGAAAGAAGAAAATCATCTAAAATTAAATGGCCAATAAAAATATTTTTAAAAAATGAAGGTGAAATAAAAACTTAGCCCAGATCTACAAAAGGGAGAGGATTCATTACCAGCAGACCTGCATTACAAGAAATGAAAAGAAGGAAAATTATACCAAACGGCAATCTGAATCTATTAAAAAAAAAAAAAAAAATGAGCACCAGAAATGATAGTCGTGTGGGCAAATATAAATTACTTTTATTGTTATTTAAATCTCTTTAAAATATAATTGGATTTTTAAAGCAAAAATAGTAACTGCCTATTATGAGGTAAAAGGTAATAATAAAATGCAGAAGGAAGAAACATACTATTGTAATAAGATTGTTACATGATACTTGCATTGGTGTAAAGCATTTGAATTAGACTGTGATGAGTGAAAAATGTGTATCATAATCTCTAAAGCAGTCCTTAAAAACCACTTAATACATAGTTCATTAGCTAACAAAGGAGAGAAAATGGAATCCTAAGAGCAATACAGTTAACCCAGAAAAAGGGTTAGATCAAAGAACAAATAGGGTGAATAGGAAAGAAAATTCAAGATGACTCCATGGTATCCGTAATCACATTAGCAGTAAACAATATGAGAATCTAAATTAAAAGGCAGACATCATCAAATTGGATAAAAAAGTGAGACACTACAAGAAATCTACTTTTAGTGTAAAGGTGTGAATAGGTTAGAAGTGAAGGGTGGGATAAGATATACCATGCTGATCCTAATGGAAAGCAGGTTGAAATGAAACGTAAGTATCAGCCTAAGGCCATTTCAGAGCAAAGAAGATGACCAGGAGTAACGAGGATTGTTTCATAATGAAGAAGAGATTACTATTCGTTAAGAGAACATGACAATCCTAAGCATTCATATACTGAATAACAACTTCAAAATTCTTTTTTTAAAAGATTTTATTTATTTATTTATTTATTTATTTATTTATTTGAGAAAGTGAAAGAGTGCCCACAAGCAAGGGGAGCACCATGTGAAGGAGAGGGAGAGGCAGGCTCCTCGCTGAGCAGGGAGCAGGATGCAGGCCTTGATCCTGAGCCCCAGGATGCTGGGATCATGACCTGAGCCGAAGGCAGAAACTTAACCGACTGAGCCACCCAGGTGTCCCAACAACTTCGAAATTCTTAAAGCAAACATTGAAAGCACTGCAACAAGTAATTGACATACTCATAGTCAGAATTTCAACACTGCTCTGAGTAGTTAAGTAGAAAGTCAGTAAGGATCTTGGCGGCTTGAATAACATTATCGAATAACTTACTCTAACTGACACTTAGTGAATGCTCCACCCAACTACAGTGGAATACACATTATTTTGAAATGAGAACAAGTCTCAGTAAGTTTAAAAGGACTCTAGTCAGACCAGGTATGTTCCTTGTCTATGGTGGAATTAACTTGGAAATCAGTAACAGAAACCTATCTAGGAAACCTCTAAATATGGAGAAACCAACAAACTTTTAACTCACCCTTGGTACGAAGAAGTGATCAAAAGGAAAATTATTTAATAAAGTATTATGAACCAAGTTATAATTAAAACAACATTTCAAAATTTGGGATGCTACCAAAGAAGAAAATAGAAATTTATAGTATTAAGTGGTTATTATTAGAAAAGAAAAAGACTCCATTCAAAGGCTAATTTCTACCTTAAACTAGAAGAAAAAAGCAAATTAAAACCATAGTAATTAAGGAAGGGAAATAAAGAAGAATGGAAATCAATGAAATTGAAAATAAAAAATCCATAGAAAGATAAATCTGGTTTTTAGAAGATTAGTCAAAGTGACAAATCTAGCCAGAATGACCAGGTGAAAAAGGAGCAAAGCACAGATTACCAGTGTTAGTAATGGAAGAGATTCCATCACTTCAGATCTTACAGATACTGAAAATAAAATAAATACTATATAAAGAAATACTGTGCCATAAAGAAATACCATACTGTAAAGAAACTTTATAGCAATAAATTCAGCAAGTTAGATGATATAGTCATATTTCTTAAAATACTACCAAAATTCAAGAAAACAAGTAGATAACCCAAATAGTGCTGTATCTATAAAATAAATTCAACTGGTTATAAAAACCTTCCCTCAGAGAAGATCCCAGGCCCAGGTGGATTTGCTGGTGAATTACGCCAAACTGATTTTGCTGAAAGTGTTCCAGAAATTGATGATGAGAGGATTCTTTCCAACTCCTCATACGAAGCCAACAGTACTCTGATACCAAAGCCAGACCAAGATGTAAGAGGACTATAGTCCAATAATACTTGTGAACGCAGATGTAAGAAATTCTTAAAATTCTAGCAAATAGAATCTAACAGTATGTATATGAAGAGGACAGTGCACCATTACGTGAGTGGGGTTTACTCCAGAAATGCAGTGTTGACTTAGCAGGCAAAAATGAATCAACACAGTTCACCATGTTAATAGACTAATGTGGAAAAATCATGATCTCAGTAGGTGAAGAAAAAAAAAATTTGAGAAATGTAACATCCTGTTGAAAACTCTTTACAGATGGAATAGCAGGAACTTTGTTCACGTGATAAATGGCATGTGCAGTGAAGCCCTACACCATTCAGTGTGCTTCATGGGGAAGGACTGAATGCTGCTGGCGTGGCTCTGAATGTGCTAGGCTGGGAGGTCCGGCCAGAAAAAAGAAATGAAAGGCATCCACAATAGAGAAGAGGCAATAAAACTGACTTTCGTCGCAAACAACATGATCCTGTAAAAAAGCCTATGGAATTTATGAAAGAGCACCCAGATAATTGAGTTTAACATAGTTCCAGGGTATAACATAAATATACAAGTCATGATCCTATTTTTGTAGAGATGAAGGTACCTTACTGAAAAAAGACCAGAAAAATGTGGTTCTCTGTGGGAGATAATGTTCTTGAGTCCACCCTCTCCCCCAGTCTGCAGTTTCTAGCATCTCTGCGAGTGTTTACTTCTGTGGTAATGACAGCAATAAAAGTCACTGTTTTGGAAAAATAGTTTTCAGCCACACTATGTAAATGTGATGCAGTTTAGCAGTTTTTGGTAAATGTCATGACTTTCAGCCTTTTCGCTGAAAACGTATAGGGCATCACAGTCATTTTATGTTTCTTATTCTGCCCTACCATTTTAGGATGTTCGTTCTGCCACCCTTCACATCCTAGCATGCGGAAGACGCTGTGATCGTAATCATTGCTCATTTTTCATATGATTTACTGAGCATGTCCTGTGTACCGGCTACTGGGGAATGCAGAGATGAGGAAGACCCGTGGCCTCTCGAGGCTTCCGTCCTCTCCATCCTCACCTCTTTATTATTTTCTCTCTTGGCTTCTCGTATTTAAGCTTTTCTAGACTTCGTGTAGTGCCTGGAACTTGGAAAGGGCAGCCCCCCCCATGGCTCTTACACCTGCCCTATCTTTTGTCAGGGATACTTTCTTAGCCCACCCCACTGCACTCCCTACTCTTTATTTAGTTCTTGACTTAAACGTCATTCCTCAGGGAAGCTTTCCCTGATCTGCCCAGCAGGGTGGTAGAGTCTGCCAGCACCTTGTACTTTTCCTTCCCAGAACTTATCACCATTGTATTTAACACTTGCTGAGTGACCACCAGACTGAGATCTTGTTGTCAGGTAGTATTTTCATCAGTGAGTTGTTTTTCAGAGACGGGCTCTGGTTCGTATTGAGCTCCTGAGTCTCTGTTTATCTTACGAAAAAGCAGCTCAGCTTGCTGGCTGGATTAGCAACGCAGTGCATGGCCAAGGATTAGATGGAGCAGATCTGATTTTTAATTCTGGACCTCAAATACAACTCTTGGGATTTCAGGTAACACAGGAGGAAGGACAGCAGTTGGCACGACAGCTGAAGGTAACGTACATGGAGGCATCAGCCAAGATGAGGATGAACGTAGATCAAGCTTTCCACGAACTTGTCCGGGTTATAAGGTACGCGAGACACATGTTGGAAGTTTGTTTTAATTTATGGGATTTAACAGGTAATCACACTGTGCTTTTGAAAACCATAAGCTGAGAAAGAAATTGCCACTCAGCGTTTAAGAAGGGAAGCTGTATGTAGAAGCACTTCTGTGCTAGGCGTTGACACCCAAGGCATGTTACAGATTTTCATTAAGGACATACTGTATACTAGGTACTTCCTACATATAAAACCAAATTTAATTATATTGAAGGAGAGAGTACACATAGAGATTTTGGGAAGAATCTGTGCCACTTCCAGAGGTGTCCATAGCGTGAAGATAGTGAGGACAATAGCTGACATTTGAGTGGAAGTCTCTGCCAGACACTGTGCCTCATACTTCACGGGTATCACTACACTGAATGCTCACCACAACCCAGTAAGCTAAATACTTTCATCTATCCTGACTTTTGGATGGGAAAGCAGGTACATCGAGGTGAGTTAACTTGCTCAGAGTTTTGGCGTTAAACGGCAGGGCTGGGACTCAAATCTGTGTCTCTGATTCCAGAGCCTGTGTTCTTCAGCTTTGCTCCGTCCCCACGTCTTCCCAGGTGGACAGTGAGCCAGGTGCTGGAGAGTCAGGCCTCCCGTTCGTGGGGTGAAGTGTGACATCTCAGATAACCCAGGGGTTTTCTGTCTGCTGGACTAGAGGGCCCCTGTGGTTCAGAAAGTGTTAATGGTTCCAGGAAGCTTGAGGTGATGGGTGAGGTCACCTGGAGTTGCTTACTGTGTGAGAAAGATTGAGTTGCTTTATAGTGGGAGGGGTTTAATTTGATTATTTTTAGCCTTGGTGGCTTGGCCTCTACTTCACCCTGGGCTCTCTAGGTCTGCTAGTCTCTGTCTGACAGGTATGTGGAGTGAGCTGGGGTTAATTGTGAGTGTGAGGGGAATCAGCATCTGCGCTATGGGCTTCCTGGGCTTTTTTAGCTCTTTGCATGGGCATTCTCTTTGTAGAGAAAGAGAAGTAAGGTTTATAGTTTTTTATTTCTTAGTAGTTTGTTAAAAGTACGAGTTCCATTTTTAAATGAGTACAGAGTTTGTTTTGTAAGATAGAAGAGTTCTGGAGGTGAATGGTGGTGATGGTTGTACCACATTGTGAATATATTTAATATTGTTGAACCGAATGCTTAAAAATGGGTAAGATGTTAAATTTTGTTATGTGTATTTTTTTTTTAAAAGATTTTATTTATTTATTTGACAGAGAGAGATCACAAGCAGGCAGAGAGGCAGGTAGAGAGAGAGGAGGAAGCAGGCTCCCTGCTGAGCAGAGAGCCCGATGCGGGGCTCGATCCCAGGACCCTGAGATCATGACCTGAGCCGAAGGCAGCGGCTTAACCCACTGAGCCACCCAGGCGCCCCTTGTTATGTGTATTTTAACATGGTTTTATGTGCACACAAATCAGTGCCTTCTTAATGTCACTTTTAGTGCCTTTTGAAATATTTGGCCCTGGGTTTTGATCCTTAGAATCTATATTCATATCTGTCAGTCAGTCTGGAGTGAGGAGTGAGTGGGTAGAGGAAGTTTTTAAAAAAAATGTTTAATTTTATTTTTACTTTTAGTAGGCTCCCTGTCCAGCATGGGGCTTGAACTACGACCCCGAGATCAAGAGTCTCTACCTACTGAGCCAGCCAGGTGCCCCTAGAGGAGGCTTTTTTGTGCCAGGCACTGATAGGCCTTTAAACATAACAGGAGCTTCTTAGATCCTCATAGCAACTGTGGAAAGAAGAGTTTATTATTGCCTTCTAAAAAACTGAGGCTCCATAGACGTTAGCTGATTTGTCTAGTGCTGACTTGTGGCTAGTAAGTGGCAGAACAAGCATAGGAACTGCGTATCTTGTACTTTATATTCTACTCTAGCAGTGGATGCTTATTCTTTCTTTATTTTTAAGAATATTTTGTTTATTTGAGAGAGAGAGAGTGAGCAGGACAGAGAGGGAGAGAGAATCTGAAGCTGGCTTCATGCTGCACTCAGAGCCAGACTTGGGGCTTGACCCATGACCTGGAGATCACGAGCTGAGCTGAAACCACGAGTCGGATGCTTAACTGAGTAAGCCACCCAGGCGCCCCAGTGGACTCTTATTCTCAAGTATACCTTATAGTCATGAAATTTCAAATTGGGAAGGGAACTTAGAGGTCACTGAGTTCAGTATCTCAGTCTGATTCAGGACTCACCTATCAGTGAAACTCAGCTCTGCTTATGCTGGTATTGAAATATTTGTGCCCTTTTTCCCCTCAAAGATTTGCTTTGATTCCCTAGTTGAAATTCAACATTGAGAAGCATAAGCACATAAGCTAGCCTTGTCCAAAAATAATATATTTGTAGTATTACCAGCAAGACAATTATATGTAGATTTTTCTGTCTTACAGGAAATTTCAAGAGCAGGAATGTCCTCCTTCACCAGAACCAACACGGAAAGAAAAAGACAAGAAAGGCTGCCATTGTGTCATTTTCTAAGAATCCCTTGAATTATAGCTACCAACTGCCAGGAAAAGCCCTCATCTTCTCCTTTTCTCTTTATGGTTTACATCACATCATGTTGGTACCTTTCTAGCCTTAGACAAATGATCACCGTGGTAGCCTTAGACCAAGAAGCTGGCTAATCCTTTCTTGTGAAGCTAATCCTATGGTCATTTCAAGACAGATTTAAAGGAAACACTAAGGCTGCTTCAAAGATTATCTGATTCCTTAAAAATACTGATCTATATACACAGACACATTCTTTTTTAAGGGCTTACATTTTAATAGGGATGAATCAGTTTTGGAACCTATGCTGTTTGCCAAGCTGAAGTCATAGGTTGCGAAATAACTTTTAACTTCTGGAATCATATTTCCTATTATTACTCTAAATAGAAAAGTGAGGAGTTTTTTTAAAATGTGAATTTTTGCCTATCTCTAAAAATTTTAATGTCAACTTTAGTTAACCTTAAATACACTGAATTGAATTCACAAAAGTGAGACATCTCAGACCTTTACCAATGCTACAGCCTTTGTTTTCCCATGGCCAAAATACCAAACGCCTATTGTATTTATACATTAGAAACTGCGTATGAAGCCTTTTTAAGTGCTCCGCTCCTAAAGATGATAATAATGTTCTATGTGGCCAGATATTTGGACTTATTCTGGACTTAGGCATTTCAATGTTCTTGGTTTTTTAAGTTAACTCTTTTTACAGCCATGTCGAGAGTAAAAATAAATAATTTCTGTCTGTCTTCCTTTTCAAGTATTTGTGGATAAGGGATTCAAAAAAATTAAAACTGTTTTTGTTTGTAATATAAAATATGGAATTGATCTTTCCGAGGTCAGAGATGATTAATGTTTTTGCTATATACTTTTATACATTATTTTCTTATCAAACTAGTTAACAAGTATTTTTATATGTTTGTAAGCAAATATGCTTTCACAGCATACCTTGTGTATATGTAAAGATAAGTATTTAATTCTCACTGTTCACTTTTAACTGACAAAGAAAAAAAGAGAAAACTACGGAAACTGTGGTAGAACTTTACTTGCCGTTCTGGTCCTGGTCCTGGTGGCGCCCACCTCTGGCCAGTCACGTATCTGCTCGAGAAAACTTCTCCATAGATGACAGCAGGATGAGACTCAAGTCACTTTTGAGACACCATACTGGGTATTGGCTGTTGTATCAAGTAGTAAGTGTAAAACTTTTAATTGACAATTAGTATAACTGTGGATGGCTTCTGATTTTGTTTTTAATTCTGTGGATTGTGTTTAAACAATTCAAAAGTATGTTCCTGATTGTGAGATACTAAGTGGTATTGCACAGTTGTCACTTTATTAAATGTGTACAACAGTCCCATGAAGTTGATAAAGCATACCCTTGTATAGCTTCAGGTGCTAGAATTAAAATTGATCTGTTATCACAATATAAGGTTTGATGACTTGTTATTTGGGTGGTTTCTTGGAGGAACGGCAGTATTGGAAGAAACACTTCAGTAGCTAGTTCTGTGCCTTTTTCCAACAGTGCCTTAGGGTTTGCATCTAAAAATCAGAATTGGTTATTTAGTAGGTGAATTTGAAGTGAAATGACTTGGTGTTCTTAGGGATTTCCTGAATATTTTCTGGAGTTGGCATTTCTTAAACTTTTTCTGTGAAGTGCCCCTGACAGAAACCCCATCTCTGAAGGAGAGAGGAGGTTGAATACATACACATACACTCCTCTGAAGAAGAAGCCTAGAACAGCGGAAGCACAGTGCACACATTTATTTGAATGCTCGTTAAAATCACTGCCCAGGAAGGTACTGGAGTTACTCTGTGGGTTTTGACACTGTAGTGCTATCACATATCCTTGTTAGGACTTTCAGTTGGGAACGTTTTTTGTTTATCATAGGTAACTTCAAATAACAAGAGATTGTCCATGTAATAGGTAGATTGAATGGGAAACCTTTAATTTTATTCTGAATAGATGACTTATAGCAAAGCAGTTTGAAGGTTAAATTTTGTTTTATCAGTTTACTTTTCTTTTCTCTCTGGGCTTCACTTTGGATACTTTTTATTGCTACATCTTCAACTTCCCTAACCTTTTCTTCCCCCGTTGTTTCATCTGCTGTTAATAACATTTAATGAATTTTTCATTTGAGACTTCGTGTTCTTTTTTCTTCTGTAGAAGTTGTGGGTTTTTTTTGTTTTTTTTTTTTAATATCTTCCATCTCTCTCACTGTGCTCAGGTGTTTCTCTTACCCAGTCCCTTCCAACGGAGTTCCCAGGGAATTGAGTCTAATGTCTTATCTGTCTGTGGTGTGCAGTGAATTAACTTCTCTTCAGTGCATCTGGGTTGGTTCTAGCTGTGTATCATCCTTGGGAGAATTGAGAAAGGCTGCTTTGAATATTTGAACATGGTTATAATGGCCGTTTTAAAGTCCTTATCTTTATAATTTTTGGATCTATTTCTGTTGACTGGTTTTTCTCTAGTTATGGGTCACATGCTTCTGGGTTTTTTGTTGTTGTTGTTTTGTTTTTTGTTTTTTGCGTGTCTAGTAAGTTTTAATTGGATGCGGGATGTTGTATATTATTTGTTGTTGGTTGCCTAGATTTTGTTGTCTTCATCTAAAGTTGTCGTCACCCCCCCCCCCCCCCCCCCGTCATTTACCTCTAGTTCAGCTTAATTCTTTCAAGGCTTGCGGTGAGGGAAGATACTTGAAACTTCACACAGTCTCAAGTATCTTCCCTCACCGCAGGATGGTTTAGCTTTCCTACTAAGGTGTGGCCTTCTTAGTGTCTCTACTGAATGCCCTTTGTAATCAGTGAGGACTCTCCAGTTTGGCTAATGGGAACCAAACAATTCCCAGCCCATGTGAGCTCTGGGGGACCATTCTATCCATAGCTCCTGGATCATCCTTTGCCCAACCTCAGGAGTTTCATCCTATATTTGGATATCTTAATATCCAGGAAAGACTTGAGACCCTATGCATATTTTTGGAGTTCTTTTTTTCTGTATAGCTCTCCCCTCCACAACTTTGCCCTGCAACTTTCTGTTGCCTCAAACTCCCAATGTCTGGGACAGATCTCCAGTATCTGTCTTTTCAGCTTAGGGAAACATTTATGCTCTGCTTGGAATCCCTTATCTACTCTGTAGTCAGGGCAATCTTAAGGCTTACCTTTTTGTTTCTCTCCCATCAGAGATGGTAGTCCTGTGCTGTCTGGTATATATAATGGTGAAAATAGGTGTTTCACATACTAATTCCAGTTTTCTGGTTGTCTACAGCAGGAAGGTAAATCTGCTTCCTGCTACTTCTCTCTTGGAAGCTGAAGTCTCTCCCATTTGATATCTGTCATACAATCAAAGGTGCCTTGTAGCCCTCTTATTTTACGATTTGAAATCTTATTTATTTGTTTTTAACAAAGAATGGCCAGTCTTGGGGCATGAATAATCCTTGTCTGTATGACCCATTTTTTTTCCTCTATAGCTACGGGATTGGGGAAAAAAAATTTTTTTTTTAAAGGACCGTACGGTAAATATAAATGTCATCTTGGGTTCTTTGGGTTATATGGTCTATGTCCCAGCTACTCCGCTCTGCCATTGTATCACCAAAGCCACCATAAACAGTGTATAAATGAACGAATGTGGCTGTGTTCCAATAAAACTTTATGTGGGGACACTGAAATTTGATTTCATATCGTTTTCATGTCATAAAATGTTAATCTTCTTTTGAATTTTTAAAAAAATGCATTTAAAATTGTAAAAACTGTTCTGTACGAAAACAGATGGCAGATTGGATTTGATCTGTGGGCCATGGTTTGCCAATCTTGCTCTAGAGCACATGTAGCATTTGAGATCACAGTCCCAACTTTAGAATCTCTTCTCTTTATAGATGTGAAAATTCTTTCAACCAGTATTTCCTGAATTGAGAGTCACGAATTCTGTCCTAGGAATTTTGTCCCTGTGTTACTTGTTTAGGGATTTACAGTATTTCGGGGTCGGACGTTATGCCTCACATCTTACACTGATGATTCCTCTAAATTTGGAGCTTCAAAATTTTAACACGTAAATTGGTCCCTTTATCATTTGGCTTTTAGAATTTGCTGTAATAAGGTTCTATATACATCAGATCCATGTTGTTCCTCTTCTGACTTCTCATCACTACCAGTTTTAATTTATTTCTCTTCCCTTTCCTGTACGTAAATGACCTCATTCAATAGCCAGCTGGCAGATAAATAGGATAGGTGATAATAAAGTGGTTATTTTCAGTATCACTTGGCCACTTAAGAGTATTTAACCAGTAACTGCATATAAAGTGTCAAAGAGCTTTTTTAGAAAAAAGGCATTTTAATTTGAACGGATGTCTTTGTGCAGGACTTCATTAGGTGTTCTGGGAAATGGATAAACGTGTAACATTTCCTTCCTATAAACTTTGGTATCTAGTGGAGGACGACTGCGAGTGAGAAGACAAGTGCCAGGGCAATAGTTAAAGGAGAGTGAGAAGCATGCATAAGGTTGTCTGGTCCTGCAGATGGTAATGTCCCTTCTGGAAGAGGTGAGGGAGCTTCTAAGAAGCGGTGCTTTAGCCAGAGCAATATGGATTGGTGGGGTCTCAGATGGGAGGAGAGGAAAAGAGAGGGGATGGGAAGGAAGGCTGGGGAAAAGCCTGGGTAAAGACATATAGTTGTCAGAATGCAGGGAGTATTCTGGGATTGGAACCTTAATCTAAAATGATTCTAAGTGCAATGGGAAAAAATAATGATAAAGTAGACCAGGTTTGGGTTGTAGAGAGCTTTAAATAGGATGGCCCTTCTGTACGTAATGGGGAACTGCCAAGGATTCTGAACAGGGAGTGCGTGGATCTAATCTAGCGGTATCGATGACAGCGTGGCTCTGAGGAAGGGTGGTCAGGTAGGAGGTTGTTAGAGTCATGGACTGTCTCTTTCCAATTTGTTCTGCCCCCCACATTATTGCAATGGCCTTTGAAGTAGTCTTTTTATTTGCATTTTGCCCCCACAAAGCTGTTCTGTAAATACAGCTAAAGGGATCTTTTTTAAGGCCATAAATTAAATGTTACGGTACTGCTTAAAATCTGTCA